TCCTTTTCCTTCTGGCAACTAGAAAGCCCAGAGCCAAATTGACAGTCCAACCTTATAAAAAGTGAATTGTGGTATATTTGGTTGCAGCATCATTTCTGGTTCCACTCTTTTCTTCTCTTTATCTTGCCAGTTTCAATTCCCCTATCCAGTCACATAATGTGCCTCTCCAAGTTACTTCTAGACAGTACATGAATAAATGAATTATAAGAATTTAAAAACACATGGGTAGTGGAAACGGCAGATACTCCAAATGGCAGTTTGTTATTTTCTCTTCTTCTTCCTGATAAAGACCCTATTTATTAAATCTAAGTAAATTTCAGAGGAGTAAATTCAGAGAAACCAGATTCCATGTAAAACAATAATGCTAACAACTGGGTTACAAGAAGCAAATACCAAATAGATGGGGCCTGATGACCAGAGAACTGGCTGGCTTCAATATGTAAGCTGCCTCAGAGTTCCACTTACATGTCTACAAGTTCTGGGTTTGGGATCAAGGAGGTTGGGTTTAGGGTACAGGAGCAGACTATCACCTTGGGTATCTATTTTTGGAGAATCTACGGTCTTACTGCAACAGCCAAACCATTTTGTGGAAAAAGACTAAGAGAGAAGAGAGGAAATAAAAGAGATTATTTTCATATCTTTATGCTCCTTCCTCCAAGATAGTTTAAAGTTAGCTGGGAAGTACCTAAGAAATATTCCTATTTTTAAGGACATCCAAGATTGAGTAATTAATTTCAGCCACAATCTATTCTGAAAGTCTAGACTTTCCTATGATCTTACAGGAAAGATTATAACTTTCCTATGATCTTTTATAATCCTACCTGTAATCTTGCAATTTAAGTCTTTTTCTTCTTGCTCAGTTCTCAGCGCTGAGGAACAGTAAGTAACAAGAAAACAAAGTATAAAACGCTTCATATAATCCTCCTTGTTCACACTTTTGGGAAGATAACACGTATTGCCTAACCCATGGTCCACTTACTGAGTAGGTAGGTGTGAGAATGAAGCAGCACTCGGTAGCAATATTCAAACTTCACAGAAATCCTTGAATTACATTTACAAACCTAAACTGTGAATGGGTCACTGTGCTTACAAAATTACATACAAACCCTTCTGTAGTCAAAGCCCACTTTTACTCCAAGAGCACACTATGCCATTTCAAATGGCACTACCTTTTTAACATAAAAACTATGAATAGAAAAAAATGCTAATTTTATTTATTTTTTCTTTGAATTCCCTCTTGTCTTTTGAGATGCTTACATAGCACCTTAAGTTCTATTTATTTGTCTCCTACCAAACTTTTCCTCTTTCACCCTTGATCCCACAAATCATATACCTTGCAGGATAATCGGCAGGCCCTACTCTTCCTTTTTGCCTAGTAGCCACTCTTCCTCTTACAAGTCAGTGTGCCACCTAAATCCTGCCTGGAAGCAGGTTTTCAGTATTCAAAACAATTTTTAAATGATATCATACTTACTCCTGACCTCTCATTGTAGAATAGTCAGAATGTGCCTTCATAGGTAACTTCTACCTACTGGCCCTAGTGTTTCTTTCAGTATCTCTATGGAATTATGCATAATCCTTCTTTAACGAATCAGCCTAAAAAATATTTGAAGCTGCAAACAGTATCAACATTAGGATTGGAATATCTAGAAACTTAGAATGTGTTGCTTCTGTGACTTTACTACGAAATCCAATATTACAGGCTTTTAGCTTACCAAGGTCTCTCTAACATACCCAATCTCTGTTTTTATCCTAATTCTGGCATTATTTAGGCACTAAGAAATGACAAGCATGAAACATAGTAGTAGGGCATCATCATCATTTTTCCTCTTCTGGAACACAAGGAAAATACTTAACGAGCACACTGGTATAAACTAGAATGGATCTGGGGTTTGTTATGACTCTTGGTGAAAAAAAATTGTTAAATCTGCTTTATGTAATCATGATAAAGAAAGTGTTGGAATGTATTAAATAACAAATTTGTATCAGTGATTGTTAGCAAAATTTTAATGATACTTGAGCTGGCTTAGGTTTTAGAGAGAAACATACAAATGGTGGTCAAACATAATTCTAAATTTGTGCTAGATTTCTATATGGTTTAAAAATTATTGAGAATCACATAATTCATTCATTCTTAGTTCTCTGTTTTGGATGAGCATGAGTACACATGAAGAAATAGCTGCTCAGAGGCTCTTCCTTTCTTCCTCCTTCTCTTGTCTTCCTTTTCTTTTACTATTTCATTCTGACCATATTCATTGACCTCCACCTGATCATTCTTCTGCTTCATGAGCTGCCTCAGTGCCTAAAAACATGCTAAACCACTCATCCTACCACTCCAGTGCCTGAAAAGCAAATCAGAATGGGATAGTCTGTAGAAAGTGGGAAGGATAACAGTTGCATCTAATGGGCAAGAACTTTGGTATCCTCTCCTGGTACAAAACGGTGGTGGTGGATCTTTAAATGTGGAATGGTCTATGTTAGGTCTGCAGCCTTACTCCCCTTTCTAAACCTCTAGTATTTCAGTGTTCCCTAGCAACAGAAGCAAAGGATCAATTTAGAAAAGTGCTTTCCAGAGCACTCCTATCTAGCTACTGACCAAGCCGTTTTAGTTTATGTGATCAAGTAATTGAAATTCAAAGAGATTTATCACTGACTGTCCTCACAGCAAAACTGGAAGAGCACTTTGTATGTATGCTACTAATGTCTGAGATGACTGATTCTACCTCTACTGCACAAGCACGGATTGGTTTCAGTAAGAATTAGCAGTCTCCACATCTCACTGTGAACCGACAGTGTTGCTAGGGAAACTGATAATTATGTGGCAAAATGGAGGGTGTTGAATAGAAAAAGAGTTCAGAAAAAATGTAAGGTTTTGATCCAAATCAGCATGTTAATAGTACAGTGTGTTGATCTTCTGTAGTCATACAATTTAATAAATACCATTAATTATATGTTTGACAAGATACAGATTTCTAAACTGAAAGAAATTAAAAGAAATGAAAAGCTACTGGATACTGCTCATACTTTGTGTATGCCACAGCAGGAATGTGTATTTATTACATATAAACTATAATTTTTTTAAAATTAAAATATTCAAAAAAGTAAAAAATTTGGTTTGAGTCCTAATGTTTTTCTTTAGATATCAATCTTATAGTGTTCCAGATATAAAAAGTTTAATTCCATAAGAGCTTGAGTAAATAACATTTTTGGCTTCAAAGGCTAAATCATATAGTCTCAAAACAGCCCATAAAGTGGGGAAGAAAGACGTATGACTTTTAATATATACAGTAATATCAACCCAGATAAGCTGAATACTCTTCCTGAAGTCACACAGCTCCTCACTTAGTGGTAATGCTAATGCTAAATCCTCCTCTTTCAGCTGCCTAAGAGGTACTGTTTATAAATTACATCCTATTTAGGGAAAACCCATTAGAAGGATGTAAACCTAGTGAATAGATTCAAATCTCTAGATATCACTTTAATTTTAAATGAAGACTTCCAATACTTTCCATTTTTAATGGGTAAGAGTTTAGTTCTAGGCCGGGCGCGGTGGCTCACGCCTGTAATCCCAGCACTTTGGGAGGCCGAGGCGGGTGGATCACGAGGTCAAGAGATCGAGACCATCCTGGTCAACATGGTGAAACCCCGTCTCTACTAAAAATACAAAAATCAGCTGGGCATGGTGGCGCGTGCTTGTAATCCCAGCTACTCCGGAGGCTGAGGCAGGGGAATTGCCTGAACCCAGGAGGCGGAGGTTGCAGTGAGCCGAGATCGCGCCATTGCACTCCAGCCTGGGTAACAAGAGCGAAACTCCGTCTCAAAAAAAAAAAAAAAAAAAAAAGAGTTTAGTTCTAAAAGTTTATGATAGGATATAAACACTTGCTTATCAGGAAAACCTCACTGGAGACATTTTAATATGTGAGAAGATCATGAAAAAAACTAAAAAGCCCTCTATAAGAGGGATTTATTGCACAATGTTTTCTAATTTGCAAATATACCATAGATATTAAAACAGTCATTCATGTTCATACATGTACAATCTAAGTATGGTGTGTGTGTGAGAACATAAGTAATTTATTTACGGTTGGTGTATGAATGAAGACAGTCATTTATAATATAAAATGTTTCCAGTTTTAGTCTTATTTGGTCTTTCACAGGAAAGACCTAAGAAGGATACATAGTATACCATGTAAAAGCACAAAACTGTAAGGATTTATTTTAACTAAATGAATTTCAAGTGCTGAAAGCAGCAGTCTGCCTTCTGATATTATGAAAAAGATCTATATTCTAGTGACTTAAAAATTCTAAACCTTGGCTGGGAGCAGTGGCTTATTACTGTAATTCTAACACTTTGGGAAGCCAAGGCAGGCGGATCACCTGCAGTCAGGAGTTCGAGACCAGCCTGGTCAACAAGGCAAAAGCTCCCTTCTACTAAAAATACAAAAATTAGCCAGGTGTGTTTGCACATGCCTGTAGTCACAGCTACTCGGAAGACTGAGGCATGAAAATCTCTTGAACCTGGGAGGCGAAGGTTGCGGTGAAGCTGAGATTGCACCACTGTACTCCAGTCTGGGTGACAGAGTGAGACTCTGTCTCAAAAATAAATAAATAAATAAATAAATAAATAAATAAATAAAACCTAATTCATTAATACGTAAGTAGTATAGTTCATCCTACATAGAATAAAACTATAATTTTTAAGGCAGTTTATTAAATCTGTCAATTTTATGATAATTTAAAAATAGTATTTGGCTTGTCTTTAGTTTGGATTTGTTAATTCTACATATTAAAGCATTTATTTTTGATAAGACAAGAGCTGAAATGATTGACTCCTATTTTGATAAGCCTTTTCTTCAGTCCCATAAGTTGGAAGGTATTTCCAACTTTTAAATTCCAAAAGTTGGAAGGTATTTCCAACTTTTAAATCTCTGGGTCAGAAAAAGAAAAATAAAAACTTACACGGTCATCAAAAATGATATTTGTGGTTGAGTTAAACGAACCTTGACTTAGGCCATCTTGACAAGATGTTTGCTTGACATCCAAGTTCTCCATGGTATCCCCTTTAGAGACTTCACCAAGAGATGTTCTTCTCTCAAAGATGTTGTTATTATTGTTAACTTGAGTCCCATTTTGCTTCAGTAGCCTGAATACCTCAGCTTCCAAATCTCTAATCTAGGAAAAACAAATCCGTTCATAAAACTCTAAACCAGCACTCCTCTCCAAGTACAGCAAAACCCTTATTAATTAGTGTCTTCGAGAACACAACTCACCCGTACTTGTAGGCCTTGCACTTCCACAAGGTGTGCTTTTTCCAAATCTTCTATTTTCTTTCTTTCTGCTTCTTGTCTTTTGATGAAATCAAGCTCTCTTAAGAAGAAAATAATAGCTCTGATTATATCAAGCACTCAGTAAATGAAAGGTCTTATCTGAAACAATAACTGCATAGTAGGAAAAGCAACTGAACAGTTATTTAAATGGACAAAATTCAATCGGTTAGAGGGAAAGTATAGTAATGAAAGAAACTAAAACATCTTTAATGGGTCACAAGGCAAAGAAAAATCATTTGATTCTGCTTATTATCATTTTCTTTTGTAGCTCTTGATTCTAGAGCACCCAAACATATTTAGATAGGAACGACTGCACTAATGACCCAAGTTGGGTAATTTGGTAGAGATAATTACTTGTCAGGTAGAAATAATTCAATATTTCCAATGTCATAAGTATATAAAACAGTTGTAACTAGATGGTAAAAATTCAAACAAAATAATTATAAGATTTCTATGAAGAGGGGGCTGGGTGGGTCAGAAACATCAAGAGGGGCACTCGCTTTTAAACCTAAGGATAATATGAGAAGAAGAGAAATAACTCTATTTTGAAAATATAAAGCAAATTTAGCAAAATTTACTATAAAATTATTTCATGAAAAAGAGTTTGGCAAAAAATCAAAACAGTGATGTACTGAATTTATAGTCACAGAGAATACTCCCCTTTTAACAAGAAACTTTTGATAGTAATCCTTTTAAATATTAAAAACATTCTTTCCATAATAGGAAATAACAGAAATATGAATCTTACATACATGCTTAGTTTCTGAGGCTTGGCTTTGTAGACTAGAAAAGTTACTGGCACTACTTATTTGTTCTAATGAGCCAGAAGTAACTGATGAAAAAATCTAGTAAAACCCTCCCTGGTCAGTCTCTATGACATTACACCGAGATTCAAGAGATGGAAACAAAGGAGCAGTAACTCAGAAACAGCTGTTGAAAACCAAAAGCAGAATGTGGTAATCGTCTCTCTTACTGCAGTGAACTGACGCCCTCTTGATTCTCTCAACAGCTGAGAAATGCAGAGTGGCAGGGCAGGGGGCCCTGCTAGTCGATATTTACACTATCTGTGGTGGGAAATTCTGTAGTTACTGATCTAAGAATAGAGAGGAGCAGCCTGATCCAGGCCCCAACTGCGGCTTGCATGCTCCACATCCAATAGTCAGTCATTCTGCATAACTTTCAGCTGGGCTTCTTGTTGCTAAATCACAGAGGTGTTTCAAAAAGAATAAAGAAATTCAGATGTTTTAACAGTTACTATTAACAATTAATTATCAAAAATAGCCAAGAGGCCCCGGTAGCCAAAAACTGTAAAACATACAAAATATAATCTCATGAAAAAGTGACAGACATATTTCCAAAACTTAATGTGTATTTACGCTGTAACTATGCTCGTGGATAGGAAGGATATCTCTGAGGTCATCTTTTCTATTCCACTAGATAATTACAAAATTATGGGACATAAACCTTCTTTAGACAAACATAACTATTCTTTAATCATTAGAAGCTGCTTACTTCTGTTGAAAATCCTTGATCAATTTTTTTGCTTTGTTGTATTTCTTTTCCAAGGCCTGATACTGGCTTTGAGTCTCTTTGAGATGTTCATTCACTGTGTGGCATAACGTTTGGGCCTCAATCCAGTAGCTTTCCAACTTCAACATTCTTTCCTTATTCTCTTCAATGTTCTGTTGGAGTTGGGTTTTTTCTAGTTCCCACCTCACTTTCTCATTTTCTGCCGCCTGCAGCTGGAGAAAACAAATGTCATGGCAAAGATAATTTAGCCACTTCTGTAGCAAAAATCTCTCATTTTTATAGCATGTTGTAGGTCAAGTTCCATTATCATAAACAATCACTGAAACCACTTCAGTTGAGAAAAGCAAGTATTATTTTTATAATTCCATAGATGATAAAATGGAAGCCTTGAAAAGTGAAATGATTTGTCCAAGGTCACACGTTTGATAAATGATAAAACATGGATTAGATTCCACCTCACGTGATATTTCCATCACACTATGTGGTCTGAAATTCTGTAAGTGGTAAAAGATGTATCAGGGTTTGATATATCCAATTACTGTCAACGTGTTTTGAGTTTTTAAAAATATATAATTATATATAAAAGATTTAACTAAAAATGGAGTGAAGAGGGGCAGGAAGGAGAGAGGAGTTAGAAGCATAGTATGACCTAATGGCTAGGTTTCTGGAGTCATTAGCATAGATTGAATCCCAGTTCTGCCATTAGTGACCATTAAACCTTGGACAAGTAATTGAAGTCCTTCAAGACTCAATTATATCATCTATACAACAGAATTGTAATATAACACATGAGTATACTTGAAATAGCTCCTTAGATATAAGAATCATCTGATAAACATAAACCACTTTCACTCTGCTTTTAATCCTTTTGATGATCTTATTTCATTCTTTATTTCAATGGACATGAACATAGTCTGTAGCTCATTACTGTACATGTAGTGTAATAAATTTCTCAAGCTTTATAAACCTCAACTCCCATAAAAGTATAAAAGATAGTGTAAGTAAAAGTATAAATTGTGGCTTGGTTAATTTAATTCCTTCCCATGGAACAGAAAGGTGTAATCAGCTTTTTGTGGTTTCTGCTTCCAGGGACTGTTCAGAATAGACAGTAAACTAGTTTAACACCCTAATTTCTACAGAAATCCAAGACTGATCATTTAGGTGAGGGCTCAAAAGTCATTCCCAATAACTATCTGGCCTTCAAATAATACTTTATCTACTTTATATGCCTTCTTTAATGTTCAAAAGGATGCAAAGTCATTATAAACTATCAATGTTCAAAATCATACAGCATTTAGCAAAAGTAAACATGTACTTTTATACACACACATCTATGTTTTTGCAAATATTTTTAACTAAACACATTTGTAAAACAGTTTATAAAGTTAGAAAGGAGCCAAAACAATTTAAAAATTAGGAATTCTATTATCAAAATGAATAATAATCATAATAAAGTGTGCTAATCTGTGGATATTACATGCCAATGTAATGACGAAAAAATATAAAATGCTAATTTATAGTATTTTCTAAGTTAAATGTCCATAGTCTAATACATAAGTGCCAATAAAACATTTACAATTTAAATGTTTTACCAACAATTTAAAAAAAATCTTCAATTCTTTCTATGTCAAGAGACAATAACAATTTAAAACAGGACTAGGTTACTTACTGCATCTTTTGTTAAACAATGTTTTGTATCAAGTTGTTTATTTAGCAACCACCACTAATTTAAAATTATTATTCACGGAGCTGGGCTGACACCATGAATGATGTATAGATGTATTTTGACTAAAGAGTTGCAGAGTGAATTAGCCGAGAATAGCATTTAACCAAAATAGCCTTGCTAATTCATCTCCATTTAAAACACATGGAGAAACCAAAACAAGTGTTAGATGTGAACAATAAAACAGATCATTAGTGGTGGGGGAGTAATTACGTCTTAATTTTTAAAAGACCATAGAAACATAAAGAATAATGCTTTATAAGTAATTTAAAAATATTTTTAAATCTTTGAAATTGGATATTTGATAAAACTAAATAAAATTGCTAGAATTGTGTCTCATATAAGTGCGTTAAAATTTGTCAATTACTGCCGGGTGCAGTGGCTCAAGCCTGTAATCCCAGCACTTTGGGAGGCCGAGGCCGGTGGATCACGAGGTCAAGAGATCGAGACCATCCTGGTCAACATGGTGAAACCCCGTCTCCAATAAAAATACAAAACATTAGCTGGGCATGGTGGCGTGTGCCTGTAATCCCAGCTACTCGGGAGGTTGAGGCAGGAGAACTGCCTGAACCCAGGAGGTGGAGGTTGTGGTGAGCCGAGATCACGCCATTGCACTCCAGCCTGGGTAATGAGTGAAACTCCGTCTCAAAAAAAAAAAAAAAAAATTTGTCAATTAATATATATAGACTAATAATACATACTCCCTTTTATCCAGACCTTTTCTTCCCCACAAACTTAATTTATGTGAACCAAACAACTAAAAATTTCCAGTAGTACCTGGCACTTAAAATAATTATGCATGTATTAAGTTTATAAGTTTATAATATTTAATTATGAGAAATTAGGAATTGTTTATATATAAAAAATCGATGTGCTAAATTTGTTCCTAAAAACAAATAAATGATTAAATCTATTTATAATAAGGTAAGTAAAGTGGACATACAGTAGCTTTGCTTAAGGAATTAGTAATCAAAACATGCTTCGCATGCTTGAACCATTAAAAATATTACTTTTTAAGGAAATCTCAGAGGCCACATATGTGCACATACATAAAAATGTATATTTAAAATATTGTGTTATTTGCACTGAGGGGGACATGGGTGTTTGCTCTCACTGGCAGGTTTGTCTATGTACCTAACAGTGAAAATGAATCTCTCACATTTGTATTCTTTCAAATGTACAGGGACAAATCCTTTAGTCCTGGGTTGAATTTATTCACAGTATCTGAAGTTCAAAAAGTAAAATTCAAACACCATGTTTTGGTGCTTACCTTGGTCTTCAATTTTTGAATCTCTGCTTCTGTAACTGCATGTTTGATTTGCAACTGAAAATTGAAAAGAAAGAAAAAATCTGAACTAAGAAAGTGTACCTATATTTTTAAAGTCTCAGCAGCTACAAGAATGCCTTATTACATAGTAAAAGGCCTAGAAAAGTGCTGCAGTGCAGCAAGTTGTAAATTAAAGTGTCTACTGTGTGAAATGACACTGGGTGCAAACTAATTAAACAGAGTTATGGTCTATACTCCCTAACATCAGATTAGGTTACCAATTTAATGGCTCAGGGACCAAGAGAAGAAAACACTTTTTATTGCCCTCTTTGCAGGTCTTCCTTTATGATTTTAATGTCAAGGAACTGTTTCCTTGCTAAGTCTAGCTCACTGAACGGCGTAAGCAGGCAAGTGAGCTGGTACTGTGATTCAATTCCAAACCTGGCAGTGTGAAGATTTATTCCAAATCTGGAAGAAAGGTGGCGCTATGGTCCTGTGAGCTGCAAACATTCTGATAGCAGCTCGGCTGCAATGGGAGAGGAGGAGGACTGCAGTTGCCTGAGGAAATCTCTGATTTTTTTTTAATTGCAGGAAAGGTACAGATCCAGATTATCTTGTCCTCCAAAAGACCTGCTCGTTTTGAAGACTCAGGTCCCAACAGAACAGCTTCTTCTACAGCTTATTAGTATAAGAGTCACAGTTTACATTTGTTTTGCTTGTCCCTTCCCCCCACTTTGTTTTCTTTGTAAGGGAAGAAGAACGAACTGAACGAATCATTCGTTTTCTTAGGGGATCAATAAATACTCCCAGATTTAAGAAAAGCAACTTATAGGTTCACGATTTCTTGTCTGAAATCCTTGGGGCCAGATGCTTTTGGAAGTCAGCATTCTTCCAAATTTTAGAAAGGTAGTTAATACGTGTCTTCTACAAATTGCTTATTATCCACAGCAGGGTCTTTGGTGGCATTCTACAGTCAAACACATGAATTATTTTTGCCACCAAACATGAATATTCCCACTAAGTGAGGCACATAAAGACCATAAATAGCATCCTGTCAGGTCAGGTTGTACCACTAAATTAGTTTGACACAAAATTACAAAAAAGACTGGAGCATTTTGGATTTAAGACTGTACATGAGGGACCATAAACTTTTACTATTACTGTAATCAAGTAAGGCTAAGAGGTTTTCTTATCAGAAGTGAGTCTGACAGAAGGACAGAAATGTGTTTTTAGGCTAGCAATGTGAACCTGTGGAGACCATGCACGGCATAAATCTCAGCCCTCTCTTGGGTTTGTAACCGGTATTCCCTTGGTTTTTACCAAGTTCGTGGGGACACATGGGAAGGATGATAAGGGGATGATGGAAGAATCAAAGACAGGCCTATTCGACCCTCTTGGATGCCAGTGGCTAACTGCCCAGAACCTGAGGGTTCCTAAGTTCCTTATAAAGTGCTCACTCCTATTATGCAAAGGGCCATGAGGTCTGCAGGCCACAGCTCTTGTTACTGCTTTTGGTACTGAGGGATGACGAAACTTTTCAGTTTGATTCTGCCCCATTCACACTGCTTACGTTCTTCCTGACCTGGCCACTCCGGCCATCTTGCTGGTGTGGCTATTGCTCCTTGCACCCTCACTGGCTCCAAGGGGGTTCTGTGCTTGAACGTTTCTAGAGTAGGACCCTATGTGGAAAGGTTATTTTTATGAGGCCCCAAATCTGGCTCTTTTAGTTTCTTATCACAGCACAAGTGGTACAATTCTTACTTACCTGCCTTTAGCAGATGCTCAGAGCATTAGTGCAGCTGGTAAGGAATCTAACCATAAGTTTTCTCAATGACTAGATTGGAGGAAGATACAAAGATACACAGTGTTGTTCCGAAATCCCTGTAATTCCCTACTCCCTCACTGATGAGGTCTATGCTCATCCTAAGCCCTAGTCTGGATGGATCTTTTGGAAACCTGACAGCACCAGGCTAGCCAGTCAGATAGGTTTGAATGCCCCATGGATACTCCAACTGTAGGCTCTTCTGGACTCATTTTAGACATGGGAAGACCAAGGATCAGAGAAGACAACCAACCTGGTCTAGTCCTCACAGTGAATCACTATTAAAACCAGGACTAAAACCTGGATCTTCTCATTCTGATCCAGTGCCATTTTCCTTAGAAAATGGGGATCAATTCAACAGGCATTCATTGAAGAGTTGCTATGTGGAGGATGCTGTGAAAATAACTTTTTTGACCGGGCAAGGTGACTCACCCTATAATCCCAGCACTTTCGGAGGCCAAGGCGGGAGGATCATGAGGTCAAAAGATCAAGACCACCCTGGCCAACATAGTGAAACCCTGTCTCTACTAAAAATACGAAAATTAGCAAGGTGTGGTGGTGCACGTCTATAATCCCAGCTACTCAGGAGGGAGGCTGAGCCAGGAGAATCGCTTGAACCCAGGAGGTGGAAGTTGCAGTGAGCTGAGTCTGTACCACTGCACTCCAGCTTGGGTGACAGAGCAAGACTCTGTCTCAAAAAAAAAAACAAAAAAACAAAACATTTTCTCCCTCTAGGTCTAATCTCCCCCACCAGTATAAACTAATAATGTAAAAAAGGGCAAAAGTACTTAGGTATTAGACACTTTATATATAAATCTACAAAAATAAATAATGTATATGCACACATACACATATGGCTAGCTAAGGCATCCAGCAAATCCATATGCCTGGGTAATTTTGGAGGATTTGCAATAGTTATCGACAAGATCTACTTCTTGTTCCGGCAACCATGTGCCACGCAGGAAGAGTAGTTGACTTAGACTGCTTGAATTCATCTCTGGCCTACCATGTACTCTGTGGAGCATTACAAAATTATTTAACCTTTCTTACATTCACTTTCCTCCCCCGTAGAATTCAGTTCTTTATAAGTCATAACCTTCCTCACTGGATGATTAAGTGATATAACCCACAGAAAACATTTAGCACAGTGGCTAGCATAAAATAAGTCCTCAATAAACTCAGCCAGGACCAAGAAAGAATGCTCTGAATAACTCAAATATGATTACCCCAGCTTCATCTCTCAGTTAAATGTGCTAACTGCTGCAAAATGTCACACCTGAAGTAAAATGAACATCTCTGCTTCTATTTAAAGGAAAGCAAGAAATCAAAAGGGCAGATTTCACAGTGAACACTGCACTATGGGCAAGTACCAGATTTTTATTAACTCGTGGTAGGGTAACCAAATACATGGCATGCAACTTGTTGGGACTTTGGACTTCCTTTTCTCAGATCACTGTGTCTTCTAGAAGTTGCTTCCCACATGAAAAATGCTAGATGGGAGGAACTCCAAGGGCCCTTTCACATACGATGGGTGTGACATTTATGGAACAAAGAACTTGAAGGTAGTTGTCAAGATTGCAGAGTTTAGAAATTCTTGTCCTGAGCCAACATTTTCATTCTTGTGAATGAATACCCTAGAGGAATCCACAAATTGTGGGACAAACCTAGGTAAAACTGTGAAGCCCATGTTGATCTATTCCACCCCTCCCATCTCACCAACAATGGATAACAGGAAGAAACTGAACTCATCAGCAGTGAGGTGAGAACTACTGCTAAAAGTCTGGAGTGTTACTAAGTATAGCTAAGTTCTCTACATATAGGAAAGCAGAATGAATTGTGTAAATTCACACATTATTCAGAATAGACAAAATTTTCTTAGTACTCATAAGGCCTAAAAGTAAAGATATGTGATTATTTTAATTCTGCATGCACATTAAGAGAATTAATATAAATCTATCACTATTGATAAGAAAAGCATCAAAAATACACTAACTGAATCCCTTCATTTTATATAGTATGGACCTGTGTCTAGTGAGCTTATGTTGCAAGGCTAATAGGTGCCAAAGCCAGGTTTTAGAAATCTCAGCCCATGGTTCTTTCCACTAATACTAAATTTCTTACATTTGTAAGCCCCTTTATCTTTAATCATCCCCCTTTATCATTGCAAATGACTGGGGGAGGCAGGACAGGTGTTGTGAACCTCATGGTTCAGATGAGGAAAGAGACTAAGAGAAGTCACATACCTTCTTCAAGTTTCCACTAGAAGCAGGTGGTGGAGTGGAAACAAAATCAGGTTTCATTCTTCCTGCTTCTGTTTCTCTCTTCGTCATGTACCTAACTGAACCATTTGCTTTGGAATTTTTTTTCATTTAGTCTTCCTCCAAACCCCAAGGAATATGTCACCATCATCCCCTCTAGATGAGAAGCTACTCCAATTGGAAACCAAGGATCACTTCTGGTAGTCTCTGAGCATTCTGACACTGAATGCAAAATGCTGCTGTTATTATTAAGGAAGCTTAGAAAGCACACCTCCACCTCTCTTAATAATCAATCAGCATTTAGTGAATGAGACTATGTGCTAGGTACTATGCTAATTACTGAGGATACATGAACATGACGTAGAATCTCTACCTTCAAGATACTTCAGGGAGACTAACAAATACCACCTTATAAGAATTCTCTAGATGACTCTGTGAGAAAGGTCAGAGGCAACCTGCTCCTGGATGGCTTGTTTAGTCTTTTATTCCTATAGCCAGATCAGATGTCCTGTGGCTTTGGCCTGTTTGTACAGCCATGGACCCTACCTTCCAAGCAAAGTGAGTAAGATGGACCGGAGATATCTCCATTTCATGTTGGAAAGAAAATTGCTTTTCACAGGGGTGAAGGACCTTGACAAAAGAAGCATAGTTGGTAAAAGGTTGAGTTTTCTTATTCTAGAGCAGTTCCCTTTCCACATGTTTAAGAGATTTATGTCAAGAATCAATAACCTTTTCAAATTACAGGTCCAAGAGTTTGCAAGAATGGTCAGGCAGGCTGACTGCAGGGATAGAAGGTCAACAGGGCTGGGTAATAGAAAATAGAGCCTGAAATGCCTGTTGGGAGTTTTTGGGCTTCAGAGAATCTAGGTTTGGAGGAAAGACGTGGTATGGGTGGGCATAAATAAAAAGAAAAGGTTAAGGACTGTAGGTCAGTCTTTTAACTTACAAGACCATCTTTTCCATCTCTTCTGTCATCT